TGCCTCATTGCCAGCCTGGAGGCAGATCATTCACCTGCCCTGCCCCTCCTAGGGGTCCCCCCATGTGACATCTCACGCAGGCGGCATGCCCCCACCCGGCAGGGCCTGGACCAACAGACACAAGCCAACAACCATCCCTGGCCCCCAGGAGCAGCTCCCAATCCGGACACTTGCAAATATCCACACACACATGAACAGAGCTGCTCTCAATCTCACACACTGTACATACACATACACAGCTGCTCACAATCACACACTGTACATGCACACACTCAGCTGCTCACAACCACACACTACATGCACACACTCAGCTGCTCACAAACTCACACACACAGAGCTGCTCACAACCACACACTACATGCGCACACGCATACACACAGAGCTGCTCACAATCACACACACAGCTGCTCACAACCACACACCTTGGCATACACACACAGGTGCTCACAATCTCACACACACACACAGGTGCTCACAACCACAGACACTGGTACACACACAGCTGCTCCTGCTCACAACCACACACACATATCCTCATATGCATATTTGTTAAGTCCTGCCTCTGTGCTTGGTGCTGTACAAACCACAGAAGACACCTCAGAGCTCACACCCTGCAGTGGGGGACCAAACAATCCAGCTCCCCTGGATGTGTAACGAGCTCAAAGCAGATACATGCTCAGAAGCGCTGTGTCTGGGGCTGAAACGCTGCAGTGGGGCCAGCCTGCTGGGAGCCCCCTTCCCCATCAACATCTACATGGGAGCGCGGAAACCCCAGAGAGCAGGGAGCTCACAAGCGACCCCTGTTGGTGAACAAGGATAAGAGTGGCTCAGAGCTGCTGGAGAACCCAGCCAGAGGCTCAATTGGGGAAGGAGAATAAAGTGCAGAAGAGAAGAGTGAGGGGGGATTTGATAGCAGCCTTCAACTACCTGAAGGGGGGTTCCAAAGAGGATGGAGCTCGGCTGTTCTCAGTGGCGGCAGATGACAGAACAAGGAGCAATGGTCTCAAGTTGCAGTGGGGGAGGTCTAGGTTTGATATTAGGAAACACTATTTCACTAGGAGGGTGGTGAAGCACTGGAATGGGTTACCTAGGGAGGTGGTGGAATCTCCATCGTTAGGGGTTTTTAAGGCCCAGCCCTGGCTGGGATGAGTTAGTTGGGATTGGTCCTGCTTTGAGCAGGGGGTGGGACTAGATACCTCCTGAGGTCTCTTCCAACCCTGAGATTCTGTGATTCTAAGGAGCTTTCTGCTGCCACCTGTTGGAGAGCAGGTGGCACTGACTGAGTGGGCCAGGCCTCATTTGCACATCAGTTATGTAGCACGTGGGGGCATGTTGTTTAAAATGCAGCTAACTCTGGTGTGTGGGCGGCAGTAAAGTGTGACTGAGCCTCTTGGGAAATGAAAGGACAAGTTCTACCCCCAGTGTGCTGGGGTCACCCCAAGTGCAGTGCGGTCGCCCCCAGGTGGGGGAGGGGTTATGTTGGCTTGTGGTTGCCCTCAGGCAGGGAGGGGTGGGTGGGTTGTGATTGCCCCTGGGGACAGGACAGGGTTAGGGTTGGTGTTGGGGTTGGGGTTGCCCCCAGGAAGGAGGGAGGGGTGGGTTGTGGTTGCCCCTGGGGACAGTGTTGCTCCCAGGTAGGGAGGGAGGGGTGGGTTGTGGTTGCCACCGGGGACAGGACAAGGTTGGGGTTGGGGTTGCCCCCAGGCAGGGAGGGAGTCTTGAACAGGTCAAAGGAAAGGGGAAGGTGTTTGCCATCATGGGAATGTCTCTTGAGGGGGAGGAGCCTGCCAAGGGTTCGAGGTGCTGGGCCTTTGTGTATGAAGGGTTGAGGGGAGGCAGTTCGGGGGCCTGGAGAGCTAAGGCCGCTTGGAAAGGGGGATTGGTTCTGAGCTGAGAGGGCTTGAAGCTGCAGAGACAGACACCGCCTGCCTAAGGGCCTTTGGGACAGGCCTCCTTGCCCAGCACCTAATGCTGAATTGCCCTTTACCGGCTCAGGTGGCAGAGTCCCTGGAGCAGCCTGCATGCCTGGGTCAGGAGATCGAGCTCCGGCGCAGCCTGACAGCCTTAGACTCCGCCAACCCCAGACAGCGAAGTGAGTGGGGAGCTCGGGTGGAGGGAGGGGAACTCCTCAGCCATCCACAAGTGCCAGCGGAGGTGGAGCCTGGGACTACAGCCTGGGGTGTTGGTTCATACCTCGGTATTCGTTACTTTAGTCATTGTTGGCTCCCCCCTGCCACTTTCCCTCCTAATACAATTCTTTGTTCTAACCCTCTGGCCGCTGTGCTTAGGCGTGGGGAAGTGCTGCCCATGGGGGCTCCCGGGTGGGACATACCGTGTCCCAGGTCTCTGGGTGGGAGCTTGAGTGATGTTCTTTAGAGAGAACTCCTGGAAAATTGAACCAGTCCCTTTTTGCTGCTGACAACCCTGGTAGTAGGTTTATAGGGCCAAACTGGAAGAGCAGAGCCGGCAGCTGTAACCGGCCTGCTGTTGTCTCTAAAGAACCAGCTGATGGACCCATTAAGACCTTCTAACAGAACAAAACCCCTCATCTCAGCTCGGCCGCCCTCCCAATTGAGTTTAATGCTGACACCTGATGACTTCTCTTCCAGACAGCAAAGAAATAAGAAAGGCAGCGGGGGCCCGGGAAGCTCCTGGCCTGGCTAAAGCCTCTAGCCCTTGCGGGGAAGCTAACAAGGGGAGCCAGAGCGAGGGGTGTGATGGAAGCTTCGATCCGCCTGCCCCAGCTGTCTCCCCAAAGCCTGCTCCATGGGAGGAGGGGAAGTGAGGGCACCAGCCATCGGCATGTCCCCTGCCCATCGGAGAGAGTCGCACAGAACCCCTGGCAGGGGGAGAGATGGGGAGATTGTTGAGAGTTCCTGAACTAGAAGGGGAGGGAAGGAGGTACCCAGAGGGTGGGGGGAATGGAGGTATGCAAGGAGCCACTGCAGACACTGTGCAGTGAGCTTGGCTGGCAGAAGCTCTGGAGTGCCGAACTTACCCAACCCCCAGGTAAATCAGACCCCAGAAGTGAAGACTGATCCAAAAGCGCCAGTTGGGGTGGAAGTGGGGACGGTGGCAGCAATAGGGCCTGCCCCTGCACGAGGTGAGACCCTGCTACATGTACTTCAAGGGGACTGGCCCATGCCCACGCACCCCAACGGGTGTCAGCATATACACACGGATGGCACATGTACGCTGACGTGTGCCCCGCAGCCATGCACAGGACGCACCCCTGAGACTTGGGCAGCGAAGCTGGCAGCCCCGGGACCAGCATCTCCAAAACTAAGGGCTGGCAAATGGGGCTGGGGGCCTGGGCTCCTGCAAGGGTTTTGCTGCTTTGGCTTGGGCCGGAAGTGCCCCTCTGGGCCGTGGTAGGACAAGTGACCCAGGGATGGAGCTTGGCCCTGAGGCTGCCGGAGAAGATTCAGGTCAGTTCTTGTTTTGTCTGGCCCAGGTTGTCTCCCCACAGCAGGGAGCCCAGAGAGCAGCTTCCAGGGCTTGGGAAGGGGAACGGGGAAGCTGCTTCCTGCTCAAACTTGGCTCTGGGTCTCTCCCCCGACCTTCCCTCTGGCCACATCGTTCTCTGCCCCAACCATCCCTTCTCTGGCTTCCCCCTCACATTCCATCTCTTCACCTCCTGCCCCGGCTCAGCACCGGCCTGGCCTCCCTCCCTCTCAGCTCTGCCCTTACCCCCAGACCTCCACTCTCCCTGCTGGGCTCCTGCCCTTGGGCTGAGACTCTGTTCTCTCGAACCTGCACGGCCAGTGCTCAGGACAGGGCTCTTGGTTCCCCAGATCTCTGCTGGCTGCTACATTGTAGGAAATGTGGCATCCGTCCCACAGGGGAGCGGTTGGGGGCTGAGCCCTTTGGGGAGCTAGGTGTGCACAATGCTTCAGGCTATTGATCACCACTGTAGTGTAATTTCTCCCTGATGTCACTAGATGGCAGCACGTGACCCATCCTTGTGAGCCAGGCTGAGTGGCAGGCGCTGGGGTTGGTTGCAAGCGGGGCCCAGTGGAGAGCAGTCCAGGGAGACGCTGCTCGGTGAGTGAAAGTAGCCCCCACCTGCTGGGGCAGCTCCAGCCTCATTGCCAGGCTGCAGCCCAGGGAAGGGCACCTGGGCCCATAATGTGCCAATTAGAGACACACCACGTAACAGTGCAGTTGGTACCTCAGGTCATCCTGCCTCCATTGTCTGAGGTCAGAGTCCTACAAGTCTGGCTGTGCCTGTACTCTGTGACCTGGGGGACCCTGGTGTCATCCTGCAGGGGCCTGATTTGCAGCTGGGTCTGGGGACCACCCTGCAGAGTGCCCACAACAGGACTGGAGAAGAGATTCGTCCTCATGCTCCGTCCACTCTGTGTATAGCTGCGTTAGGCGGCACTTCCAGGTTGCCCCTTCCCTACTTGCAGCCCCAGGCTGTTGCTGAGGCCAAGAGGGATCTCTGGAAGATTCAAAGAGGGATTGGACGGCTCTGTGGATAATGAGAATAGCCAGAGTTGTTATATTTAATGGCAGCCTAAACTGGGGCAGGGTTCTTAAACCTCCTGCTGCAGGGCCTCGGCCAAGCTCTAACCATGAGAAACCAGGAAGGGCGGGGGGGCTGCTTATCCGCCTCTCTCAGCTGTGAGATTTCCTGCACCTTCTCTGACAGCGGGTGCTGACCCCCAGCAGACACAGGATCCTGGACTTCAGAGGCCCCAGCTAGGAGCTAGTTTGGCAATCCCTGTGTTGTTTTGCTCTGGCTTTGCCTGGGACCTGCTCCGTTGCCATGCTACCACCCCTGTGGGATCCCGCCACAGCGCAGAGTGCAGCTAGCAGGGTCTTTGCTGGGCTCTCCTGGGGGAGCTTTTGGGCTGGTTTTCCCCTGGGAGCAGAGTTTGCTGCTGGAGGGGGCTTCCTGGGCCTGGATGTCCTGTACCCTCTGTCCTAGCACAGCCCTAGGGCAGCTCCCCCCTCCCCCCATTGCTTCTCCCCTCCCAGTTACATGTATCACTTACCAGTGGAGTCTTAAGTGCCTCAGCTGAACGTCAAAGGGAACAATTGTTGTTGTTTCAAGTACCTGTCATGTCATCGCGTCATCTTCCCAGCCAAGCAATCCTGCTGTCACAGGGTGATGCAGTGACTCAGCCAGTCTAAACTGGGGACTTGCAAACAGCCACAGAGCGTGAAATGAGGAATAACTGCCCCAAGACCAAAGGCTCTTATGTAAATTAAGTTGTCATGGGACAAGAGGTAAGATTCTTTCCTGGATTGAGAACTGGTTAAAAGACAGGGAACAAAGGTAGGAATTAATGGTAAATTCTCAGAATGGAGAGGGGTAACTAGTGGTGTTCCACAAGGGTCAGTCCTCGGACCAATCCTATTCAACTTATTCATAAATGATCTGGAGAAAGGGGTAAACAGTGAGGTGGCAAAGTTTGCAGAGGATACTAAACTGCTCAAGATAGTTAAGATCAAAGCAGACTGTAACGAACTTCAAAAAGATCTCACAAAACTAAGTGATTGGGCAACAAAATGGCAAATGAAATTTATTTAATGTGGATAAATGTAAAGTAATGCACATTGGAAAAAAATAACCCCAACTATACATACAATATGATGGGGGCTAATTTAGCTACAACGAATCAGGAAAAAGAGCTTGGAGTCATCATGGATAGTTCTCTGAAGACGTCCGCGCAGCGTGCAAAGGCGGACAAAAAAGCAAACAGGATGTTAGGAATCATTAAAAAAGGGATAGAGGAATAAGACGGAAAATATCTTATTGCCCTTATATAAATCCGTGGTATGCCCACATCTTGAATACTGCGTACAGATGTGGTCTCCTCATCTCAAAAAAAGATATACTGGCATTAGAAAAGGTTCAGAGAAGGGCAACTAAAATGATTAGGGGTTTGGAACGGGTCCCATATGAGGAGAGATTAAAGAGGCTAGGACTCCTCAGCTTGGAAAAGAGGAGACTAAGGGGGGATATGATAGAGGTGTATAAAATAATGAGTGATGTGGAGAAAGTGAATAAGGAAAAGTTATTTACTTGTTCCCATAATACAAGAACTAGGGGTCATCAAATGAAATTAATGGGCAGCACGTTTGAAACAAATAAAAGGAAGTTCTTCTTCACACAGCGCACAGTCAACCTGTGGAACTCCTTGCCTGAGGAGGTTGTGAAGGCTAGGACTATAACAGCGTTTAAAAGAGAACTGGATAAATTCATGGAGGTTAAGTCCATTAATGGCTATTAGCCAGGATGGGTAAGGAATGGTGTCCCTAGCCTCTGTCTGTCAAAGGGTGGAGATGGATGGCAGGAGAGAGATCATTTGATCATTACCTGTTAGGCTCGCTCCCTCTGGGGCACCTGGCATTGGCCACTGTCGGTAGACAGGATACTGGGCTAGATGGACCTTTGGTCTGATCCAGTACGGCCATTCTTATGTTATTAAGCCATCTCTTTGCTACCCCCACTGCCTCCTGCTCCCATGGCTGGGGCTGCCTGGCTCCCTCTCTCATGTGCAATTCCATTGACCCTGCTCCCCACCCCCACGCTCTGCAGCCTGGCCCCTGAGCTTCTCTCTCCCGAGCCTTGGGGAGGAAGCTGGCATCTTGCAATATGGTCCTGGGCGCTCAGTTGGGCCCTCCTTGGCCTCCAAGCAGCCCAGGGCCCAGAGCTGGGCTTTCCATGCGCAGGCACTTGTGGGTTGGCGAGAGGAGCCTTGGTCAGTGGGGCAGCCAACTCCCCATGACAGCATTAGCTGGGGGGCAGCATGGGAGATTTTGTTGCCTGCCTTTGCCTTTTAGTCCAAGTGCTGCAGTTCCTTCCCCTTTGCCGGCATCGGCACTTGTCCCTGTCAGACCCAGGTGCTGCATCTCCTTTGCAAGGGGCGACTAATCATCGCTGTCCCATGGCTTGTGCTGCCCAGTCTCCCCACGGGCCAAGGAAATCCGGGCTCACGCGGGGCAAGGCCATTTCCCAAACGCTGGTTCCAGTCACGAGCCCCCGGCAGCAGAGGTAAGAAATGTGCCCGGAGCGGCCCGGCCATGGGGACAGGGGGGTGCAGCTCGCGGGGGCGTCGGCAGGACCCGAGCCCGGTGTGGACGCGCGGGGGGCTGCGCCCGAGGAACTCGCGGTGCAGCCCCGGCAGAGCCCCGCCTGCCCGGTCCTCCCTCGGATTGGCTCGAGCACGGAAGGGGGGGGGGGCAGAGAAGTTGCCATGGCAACACTGAGGCTGTTTGTCTCCTAGTAGCAAGTCCTTGAGGAAACGCTGCGGCAGCGGGGCCCGAAGCGGCCCCCCCCAGCTGGCGAGCTGCGAGCTCGGCTTTGCAGCCCAGCAACCCGAGCAGCGCCCCGGGGC